CTACGGCAGGAAATCACATGCATTATTAGTCATTTCCATTAAATCAGTGGTAAAAGGACTTGAAACAATATTATCGTTTATCGCAATAATTTTTTTAGACAATCGCTCAGCAAAATGTGTTATCGTGACAGGCCTACCTATGTTAACATGTAACTCGATCTGTTAAGATGTTTTACTTTGAAATAGCTTTTGATTTTAGTACATATGATCACTTACTGCTGCACATTCAAAGAAAGACTGTTTGCAGTTCTTAATAATCCATAAAATGTTTAGAAAATCTGCTGTGCCTAATAATTTGGAACAGTGCATTTTCATTTTTTTATTTTTGAAAAAAAAAATACTGTTCTCACTGGGAGGTTTGTTCAGAAAAATTTGATTTATAACTGTAATATATAAATATATCATGGCTTGAAAGTTATACTTACCATCATTTGCATTGACCATTTAGGAAAATCTGGGAAAATATCACTTGCATAATAATTTGGAATTCAGCGTAATTCAAACGGCTTTCTTAATTTTTTTTTAAAGTTCCCCAAATTGAGAACGACAAAATAAAGACTTTATACCAGAAAGAAACAACAGTAGTGAGCTTATTAAATGGATCCTACAATAAAAATCCAGAAAAACACCACGAAATAAGCATTCTAAATTCAATGGTTAAAAAACAATATACAACTTTGCATGAAACATTACTTTAAACATGTATAACATCTTATTTAACCACATCAAAGAAATCTGTGAGCTTAAACTCATTTATAATATTATAATATTTTATATATATAATATATCACCAAATTTGAGCTCAGTGGAATTAAAACTTCTCGGCCTAAATGCAAAGGTGGCGGCATCATGCTTTGGACATGCTTTCCTTCAACAGGGACAGGAAAGTTGGTCAAAGCTGATGACAGAATTAAATTTTCTAGTGCTCATAGTGGCAACTCTGTAATGGTAGATCGTTTTTTTTTGTGTGTGTGTGTGTGTGTGTGTGTGTGTGTGTGTGTGGAATTTTGTTAAATATATATATTTTGCCTGTTTGTTTTTTCTGGTGCTGGAAGCTGTGCACTTTGAAAGATTTTTGCTCTTCTTTACTTTTGGACAATTATGATTCGCAACCATGGCAACAAGATGTTTTCATAACCAAGAGCAGCTAATTAGCAGGACTGAAAGAAAATTAAAGATTAGCAGCAACAGCAAAGGAGGTGAATTAGCAGAGCTGCTAAAAACTGATGGGGTCATTCAGGACATGTTACTATGGAATGCCATTTCTGCTGCCTGGATATTGAGCTGTTAGCATGGAACTGTAATACAGTAACAGTCTTTAGTCTGAGGCTTCTTTAACTACATTGTAAGACAGACTGCTACCAGAGATCTTTTCTGTCTGGCATCACCATCCACAACAACTGTTTGAAGATAATTGGATGATATGAATTCAGATATTTTACTTTACCTTTGGAATAAATAAGGGATTTTTGAATTAATAGAACTGAATACAAAAGACCTGGTGTATATCAATGTTTTAGAATGGTTCAAAGTCCAGACCTAAATGTATCAGATAATGTGTGGGAAAACATAAAAATGGCTATTCATAGACGCTCTCTATTTAGTTTGTCTGAGCTTGAACTATTTTGCAACGACGAACTGGCAAAAATGTCAGTGTCAAGATGTGTACAACTGTTGGAGATATATCGAGCAGGTCTAAATGCACCAAAAGGTTGTTCTAAAATATTGACTCAGCTGGAGCTTAATGCAAATGCATTCCACACTTTTTTAGATTATAATTTGTCAAAGTATTTATTAAACAAAAAAGTGAAAAAAAAAAAATCAAGTAAGAATATTTTTTCAAGACACTGTAGATAACAGCCAGTTATCTCTACCATAACTGGCTGTTATGGTAGAGATAGGAGACTGGCAAACGGTGTCCAAACACTTTGCATTGCAAACTACATTTTCATGTTGACTTCTATGTCTGCACATGGACAGCCACACAAAACTTACAGCGGTTGATATCTTTCTCCTTAACAGTGACTGTAAAAGCGAAGAACATGGGGAACCTAAACCTTTAGTGTATTGGATTCACTCCATGCTGTCGTCTTATCTTTATTGCAATCTAATGTAAAACAGTCCTGGTGGTTTGTGTCCTGAATAGACTACAATATGGCTGGACTTCTGTCACCTGGCTGCTCTTGTTGCTCATGTTTGTTATTTTTGTCAGTTTAGTTGCTGGGCTGGAAAGAATTTTCTTCAGTCATTCTTGACAGAGTGGGAACAATGTGTATGGAAGTTCAGTGACAGTTGTGTTTTTCTCTCCAAATCCAGCATAAACCCAGCGAGTACAAATGAGCAAGTTATGAATAGTTCTTGTCTCACTTGCTGGGTAAATATCTCTGGTTTGACTTGGACCACAGTTGATGAATAGATTGTGTAAATGGATGTAAACTTGCTTTCAATGAAAGCCATTACAGCCATTAGGAGCTTAAATAGGGCCTACCGTAAACTCCCTTTAGGAAAATTGCAGAGTGGTTTCTTTTATTTGGGCTACTACATTCCAGGGAAGTTAACATCTGGATTTAAACATACATCTTCAGATATCCATCGGTTTCATTAGCACTGTTGTGAAGTGTTTGAAACATTTTTGTACTTTTTGACTGGTACCTTTGTTTTCTTATCAGTCCACAAGGCTCAAGGCTAGTCTTGCACTGGTGGCACTGGTGCACCAGCATACAAGTGCACCCAAATTCTCAACATCACATGAAAGTTTTACAAGTTAATTTTTGTATGATGTTGACTTGTAAATATTTATTTACCATCTAATAAACATAAAGTTCTTCATTTGAAACTGAAATGTACAAGACATGTAACTAAGCCTTTGAAGCTGCAATAGGTAATTTAAAACAACAAAAAACGTCTTTTTTTTATATATTCCTGAAAATTTTAACCATGTTGTGTCAGTATATGATGGTACAGATAATCTGTGAAAAAATGGAACTCCTTTGCCCCCTCCCTGTAGTCCTACTGCCATCTGCTGAAATACACAGACAAGAGATCAGAGCCAGGAGGAGGGTCTTAGTGTCGTCAATCACTCTTGTGTATGTACTGCTTAATGTGCTAATTACAGGGAGACAACTTACCGTTATGAGAAAATGTTATCTTTAGTCTTTGGTGGACATGCTAACTAGCCTAAACATTGACAGCAGGCTCCAGTGTGAGGAAGGAACTGTAGCCTAGCAGAGAGTACTGACCCTTTTCCACCTGCTCTACTGCAGCAGCCCGGTTCAGCTCGTCTCTACTTTGGAGTGAACGTGTTTCCACTGGTGGCTCCGCTCTGCAGCAGGGTGATGTCTCCTGACAGTTGGGGGTGTAGCGCCCCGCCTCCAGACGGCACGCGACCTAACAGAAGTTATTGTTTTTCTGATACAAAAGAAGAAGAGAGGGCTGAGCTATTGTTTTATACCCTAATTGTGATTTTTCTGAGACTTCAAGAAAATGCATGGTGGGAGGAATGCTGCAATTGTGTCAAGGAGGACAGCTGATCTTCACCTTGCAGTGGGCGGAAAGCAGGTGGCTCAGATGTTGTAGGGTGAGCTAACGATGACTTTTGTATTAAGCTACTATAAAACTTGTAATACAGTGCCAAATATATATGCGCTAATGTTAGCCAGGTGTAGCCAAGTGTCAGAATTGCGTGTGGGTGCCGCACATTCATAATATAATTCAATGTGTTTTCAGATGTTGGTAAACTGCCGCTGCAGACCATCGTGGTTCTTCCTGCTCCTCTGAGTTGTAGGACGTCTCATCAGTGTCCGTCTTCCTGAATGCTGGTCTGTGTTTACCTTCAGGATGTTCAGAGACCTTCACCTTTCTGGAGCAGGAATCACATGAGCTCAATAAGCTGATCAAACATTTCTGATTAAAAAAAGTGTCTGGTCTTACAGAGTTGAAATGCATTAACAATCTGTTTTTAACTTCTCAATACGTTTAATTATGATTCACCTGATGTCCAAGTTATAGCTGAGAACAAATAAAGCCGTATTCCTTCCAATCTGACTGGTTCTAGTTCCATGTTTTCACATTTTGGACACTAAGAATTTAAAGTTTAAACTCAGTCTTATTTATCACTAATTAAGGTTACAGGTTTTGGACACATTTTCTCCCTTTCTTACATTGAAGATTCTGCAGGAAGACAGATAAACAGTGAGTGGATAGAATGATGTATAAACTAGAAACTAACATGATTTGTATTTAGGGTTCTTGTTAATAGAAACCCTGATAATGTCAAAATGTTTGGTTTGCTGAATAATGTATTCAGTTTTGGATGCCTTAATTGGTAATCTACAATGTTAAGTGTCAATGACATATTTATATAATATAATGTTATTTTCACTCTGTCTAAAGCTCC